CTCATACTTAATATTGTACTGTAATTACTGATAGCTGAAAACATACAGTACTTCCAAAAAAGGCAAGAAATGATGTAGCGTGATCTTAATATAAAATAAGTGTTTACATATTCTACAGAATAGGTTCTGATTCTTGGTAATCAGGCTTCACCAGTCTTTTTAAAGTCCCATCTCTTTAAAGAGGACTGATGATGAAAATTGAACAATCTGATAACTGAAATGTAGGGCATTGTTTTCATTTTTGTTATAAGAAATATAACCTTTAAAAACTCTTCTCTCTCTATCCTGTCTATCAGATGTCTTGATCAGGTCTATTACATGATACTGCATTCGATCTTTCCTTGTTAATTAGACATTTGTGTATTGAATTTGGGAAATTTGCGCAATTTTGAAGTAAATTGTAATGTACAGTATTGCATTGTGAGCCTGCTTTGCTCCAGAGAATGGGTAACCCATGTACTCCTTAATAGCAGTGTTGTGTAATTGTACCAGCCAAATGATCAGACAAGTGGAAATATGAAATTAGAAATTTACGGAATAAATGGAAGTTTAACATAAATTGCACAGGGGAAATAAATGAATACAGTGAAAGCAGGTATAAATAGCACATGAATGTATGGAACAGTTTTTCAACTGGCCTCAACAGTTCTTGCAGGTTACAGAAAGGACAACATTTGCAAATTCCTTGCTGAAAATGATTTTCAGAATTCTCTCGCTGGAAGGGAGGTTGAATGCTGTGGTCTAGAAACACAAAGCACACAGCTCACCCCGGTCATGCATCCTTGTAATCTACATTCGGTGCATGGAGGACCCTCTTCTGTAGTGATAGTCTAAAAAAATGCAGGACCAGCACACGATGCTCTTCCAAAGAAAATCAAACTTTTTTTCCACAGGCATCTGTATAAAAAAACAACCGGCTGTTTTTTTGTACAGATGCGTGTGAAATAAAGTTTGATTTTCTTTGGAAGGGAATCAAGTACTGGTCCTGCAGTTTTTGAAAGCTGAGGTAGTTGCCTGCTTATACAGGCTTTACACCAACACTGCCACAGAGGCCTTCGATCAGGAGGTTCTAGTCCACTACGGACACCCCACTACATATGCAAAATTGACTGCCACAATATCCTTTCCAGTCACTGGGGATTACATAGTTGCTGCGTGCTCTTCTGCTCTCTGCTAGTGGCCCACACACCAGACTTACAAAGGGAGGATCCAGCACCTGGCGACAGCTTACTGCTTTCCCATTAGGCTGGGTCTCTCTGAGCACTAGAGGGCAGGAGGAGCTGTCACCTATATCACCTGGGCGGGTCCAGGGGCACAGGGGGATCATGGGAGTCCAAGGAACTTTGGGCACCCACAAGATTGTGGGAAACTTATTTAAAGGGACCCACACTTGTCACCGAGGAAAGTCAGTACTCCTGCACACTCATAAATATTTATATTTTTCACGATTTGGCGATCTTCAATATATGTACCATCAATTTAGGTTGTCAACCTAAATGAAGTCTGGTCAATTAGTCACCTAGTGACATCTTTCCAGCAGAAAGATCTCCTCACCATAGCAGTTGGTTCTATTTCTGCCAGCCTTGGAGTAAAGGGTGACCAACCATGGGGCAGTTTCACTTGCTGAATTCTCTACTGAAAGAAAAAACCTCAGCATGGAGAGTAGGATCCCATTATACAAGCCAACAGGAGCACTGAGAGTAGTAAGAAAATATCAGATGGTTTATCTTACCAGCTTCAACCCAAAACTGAAATAATAGTTTTGGTGGACTTACCTCAATTTGTGTGCGGATATCATTGGTATCTATGATGACAATGCTATCAAGTTATTATCAATATAAAAGTGAATCTGTGCTTTAGCAATACAACACATATAGTCACATATTTTCAAACGCATATATATTCACCTTCCTTTCACTCCCCGGCTACTCTATTTAGCCGCCACAAGTGAAAGGTAAGTTCTATGTAAGCTACGGGTCACTGGAGACATAGCTGAGAAAGAGCTAGGGCCTCCTCGTGTGACAGCACTGACTGACCCTGCTCTGTAACATGGTCCTCTATGCCCATTAGTAATCGGTATTTCCTTTAGCTCCTGGTATTTCCTTTAGCTCCTGGTGCTGAATGGGAGAGAATGTGGTATTAACGCAAACCTGTTGCTTTGCTTTGCTTTGCTTTGAGTGGGCAAAACACAGGTTTGATTTAAGGGAACCACAGTCAAAAAGTTACTCCTTGTATTATCGATATAGTGTCAGCACATTAACGTAATTCCATTAATTATTGTCATTATAATTATAATTACCATAATTACAGTAATTATATGATGTCTAAATCCATGGTGCAATAAGTTGGAGAGCTAAAGAAAAAAAGAAATATATATAATATATAACTCTTTCCAATGGTCAATAAGTGCCCAGTAGCCTATACAGTGATCTAGGGTTACTACTCAATGTACTTGCAAACAGCACCAGCATAGAGGGGGAAGAGACCTTTCAGATTAATAATGCATTGACGTTTGTCATGCTTCTCATCCAGTTACTATTTCATTCTGTTTAACACTCAAGGGATCAAAGATCGCTCCCTGTCAAGTCTGAATGATTAGTAGAGGGAAGAATTGGCTACTTGAATAATTCAGAGCACTGCACCCTGTGCCCTCTAGTCACTTTCTGCTTTTGCAGGTACTGCTTTGTTCAGTAAACTCTGTTTACATACCATTCACAGTGCTTTAGTTTACCTGATTTACTTGTCTCATTTAATAAATGTACAGTAAAGTATATTAAGCTCAATTGTTTGACTTGTGGCCTTCTAAGCATATCTGTAATGTAGCATTCTCTTTACTTGCGTGTGAGTTTTGTGTCAAGTTGTTAAAGTAGTATTAAACTCTCAACCTTTTTTCAATAAGGAATTGAGATCAAACAAATATACATTACCCAGCAAAGTATTTGTTTAAATTGTTACTTAAGCACTTACAGTCATCATGTTTCCACACACCTGGCTCCAACTCACTCAGCTCAGCCTCCCTGAACTTCCTGTTCAGTACAAGATCACAAAGGACAAAGAAGTCTGCAGCAGCTCTCCATCTACTGGCTTGGAGAAAGAAGGAGGGAAGAATGGGGAGCAGGAAAGTGTCTTGCCTAACTGGGCCAGCTTACTAGCACACACAATGGTGGCTCCATAGGAACCTGCAAGGGAAAGGAGTCACCCTAAAACAAGATGTTGGGCCAGTGCTTAGGGGACCAGCTGATTCTGCAGAAAGTTCAATCTTTTAGGGTGCATTTATACCGGAATCAGAACCAAAAACACGAGTCAGAGGAGTTACATTGACTTGCGTTTGCTGAGGGCGGTGCAACACAACAAACTGGTATGAACTGCTCCCATTCACACCCATTTTCACATGACCTTGCATTGGCAACTGATGAAAAATGGATGCTAACAGATCTGGTGGGAATGGTGTTTAAACATCAAGGAGCAGTATCCATTGTAAGCGATTTAATCCACATTTGAAATAGCTTAAAAACCTTTTGACTTTAATATTACTTTATGGATTGCTCCGTTGGATTGCTCCTGTGAATCTTTTGTTATACATGTACCTAATAATGCCAACATCAGCCAAAATGTTCATCTAATTTTGGATAGAGCAGAGAAGAGTTGAACCCTGAGCCAGGTTTTTATTTTTGTCTGTGTTACTGCTGCCGAGATTTCCTTTTATTTCCTGTTAGGGCAGGAAGCGATAGGAAATCTCTCCAAATGGAACAGAGGCAAAATCAAATTTTTCAGTTGTTGTGAACAGAAAATAATGGCAATATTTTTATTGCTGCGCGTGTCTTCGTGCCCCTGTGATAACCACTTCTCCGTTTCTACTACAGGCATGACAACAACAGGAGAGGAAATCTCCCCAATGGGGTTACAAAACTTTAAAGCAGAACTCTGGGTAAAAGATGTATTAACCCTTGTAGTAGGGCTATTTTTGACCCTAAGCAAAAATGAGCACTTAACCCTTGCAGTTCAGGGTTCGCCCCACTGCAAGGGTTAATAACATTTTTAACTAGAGTTGTTCTTTTTAAAAAAAATTGCACGAGTTAGCTTTATTTGAATAATTAAAAATAACATATACTATCAGCCCTTTGCGTAGAGGAACCCTAAGCAGGTATCCCACCTCGAGATTTATGAATGTCTGTTACTTTCAAGACATATGTTATGTTAGTATATTTTAACAGTGGTGATTTGCAAGTATTAGTGTTATCTAATACTGTTAACATTTGATTTTCTTTTTTTTATGTACACCGTTTTACTTTGTATTATTTATTACCTTCTTTTACATTTCAAGTGTAAAGCCCATTTTAGAAATGCCAAGACTTATTTTAAAGAAATCAGCAGCTGTGTAGCTTAAATACTACAATAAAGACATTGTCTCACATTTTGCTGATAGGTTTTTAATCAAATGCCTGTTGAATTGCTTGTTATGAAATACAGACAAAATATTCATAAGCAATAAATTCTGTCCCCTGACAGACAACGTTGTAAATAAGGTTTTTAAAGACCTTCACATCCGGTTTACATTTTCTTAGCAAATTTATCATGTAAGCTTTCTGTCTTGGGATAAGAACATAAAACAGAAACGATGCTTGGAGCTACAGCAGTAATAATCTAGCTTATTTTTCCTGCAAATTAACATGAGGATGAAAAGTCACACACTAGGATAAATATACAAAGCTCTGGCTGTAGAAATGTACCTCCAACCATTTAACAAAATATTGGAAACCAGTTAAGACTGCCAATTATTGATGGACTTACAGAGTTTCATTGCTGCCTGGTGTTTCCTTAAAACTTAATATTTTACAGAAGTAACAACAGATAGTAGGGTTCATGTACTAACCACAGAATATGCAGATACACACACACATTTCATTTTGCATAAATGTGCCTACTACCGTTTCTCGGCTATAACAAGGTTCATGCCTTCTTTATGGTTTGGCAAGTACCCTTTTGTAAATAGCTCATATATGAGAAAACATGCTCTGAAAAGTAGAATTGGCACTGCAAGTTTTGCTTATTATCACTTTTGGAGTACCTGAATGCATTTGTGAAAGAATGGGTCGCTCTCAGGAGCTCAGTGAATTCAAGCATGGTTCCGTGATAGGTTGGCACCTGTGCAATAAGTCCATCCATGAAATTTCCTTGTTACTAAATATTCCACGGTCACCTGTTGGTGGTATTATAACAAAGTGGAAGCAACTGGGAACAACAGCAACTCAGCCACAACGTGGTAGGCCATGTAAAACGACAGAGTGGGTTCAGCTCATTCTGAAGCGCACAGTGCGCAAAAGTCGCCAACTGTTCCACACAAATTGGTGCTAATCGTAGACAAACACCTCCTACATCTCGTAATGCAGTGATTGAAGATTGCCACGTGGTAGTGCAGGCAACCTATACAAATAATTATTTTTATAGACACTTTACTGTGCTGCCTCCATTTTAGTTTAACATTGCCGAAAGTTCATTTTAATTGTGTGGACAAGGGAAATTGGAATCGCTTAGGCAATAATTTAGGTCTCCTAGTAGACAGTTGCCTGCTGGGCTTTATGAAAAAATAAGTACAAGGCTTGTCAAAATAAGTATTCCGTCAAATATATAGATTCTGTCTACAGTAAATGGTTGGCATTTGACAAGGAAGTTGCCCAGGGCATTTTGTTTATACCAGGAATAGAGAATCACTACAAAATCATTATAATACACGCTTGAATAAATGTATGGTGAGGATTCGTTTTTTTATTTTTATAAATTCTGTGACCAACACTCTCAGATGGGACAAAGTGACCGAAGACCCACCTGCATCCAAACAAGCATGAGAGTAAACAACCCACCTCCAGCATTAAGATTTATTTTACATTTAGAATATAGAGAGGTGGGATTCAAACCTGTGCCAGGTTTTACTTCTGCCTCTGTCTACGGTGGGGAAATTCACTCTTGTTTCCTATCTACTGGGCAGAACAGTAGTGAGTGGAAATCTCACCAACAGACATATAAACAGCAATCAAGATTGCTAGTGAATGAGGAAGAATTATAACCTTTGCCATGCTTCTTTTGCTAAAACCTGAATAAACCTTCTGCACTGATGGATCCTAATAACCAAAGAGCTGCCCACAATAATGTGAATAACTTATTAACAAATTAAAATAAATGTATGTAAAGTGTAGCACACACATTATACACTGCTTGGCCCAAAAAAAGTCACACACTCAAATATTTTGCTGGACCACCTTTAGCTTTGATTACGACACGCATTGCCCATGGCACCATTTCAAAAAGCCTATACAATGTCACAACATTTATTTCCATTCAGAGTTGCATTCATTTTTTACCAAGATCTTGTAGTGATGATGGGAGAGTCGGGCCATTGCGTAAAGTCTTCTCTAGCACACCCCAAAGATTCTCAAAGGGGGTTAAAGTGGACCTTTACCTCCTTTCACTCAAAATCACATGAGCATGCAGCTCTGCATGCTGATTTAAAATCATCTTACATTCATTAGTTAACCACTTGACATCCGCGGTGTTAAACCCCCTTCCCATCCAGGCCATTTTTCAGTATTCAGCGCTGCGGTACTTTGACTGACATTTATTCCGTCATGCAGCGCTGTACTGAAATGAATTTTATACCCTTTTTTGGGGACAGATAGAGCTTTCTTACAAGCTTGTTTTTCATTTACTTGCAAATAGAGTTCATCTACTTGCTGGTCCACTTCTGGCACAAAAGATGTAATGTGTTAAAGAGGGTTACATCAGCAGGGCATTGCTAGGAAATCTCATCTGTCACTCACGAGATCTCAGGGAAAGGCATTTTCGTCCCCTGAGGTGATGTGCATGGTCACATGTCCTAGTCACATGTACCAGAGTTCCAGGAACCAAAGGGAGAGCTGGTATTCTGCCCTTAGTTAACATGGCCACTGTCAGAAGACTGGGAAAGATAAGAGAAATAAGATGCAAAGAATACAAAGCCTGCAATTATCTAGAATTATCTGTTTGTAGATTGTCATTACTAAGCATTTCTAAAGTGTTCGTTGTTATTTTAAAGATATGGGTAAAGTTTCTTTCTAAGATCTGAACTCTGTGGTGGCCAATCCATGTGTGAAAATTATCTTTCATGCACTCTTTCACAATTTGAGCCTAAAAAATCCTGGCATTGCCATCTTGGAATATGCCTGTGCCATCAGGAAGGAAAAAATCCATTGATGGAAAAACTTGGTCATTCAGTATATTCAGGTAGGCAGCTGACCTCATTTTTTGACAACATAACGTTGCTGGACCCAGATCAATTGTCCAGTGGAAGGCTCTGACCTTTTTGCTTAAGTAAATCCAGATGGTGAATTTTTTTTTGGCCAGGCAGTGTACATACCCAGTTAATACAGTCTCTGCTAACACCAGTGCTTCCCATACTCTCAAGGAGAGAAGTTCACCTTTACTCATGGACCAAATCTAAGATGATTTAGTATGGTCAAACTCACTTATTCCCGATGTCACTACCAAGGTAACTTTTATGTCTCAGAAAAAGAATAATATACAAATTGTTTTTACTTTTCTCTGACTTTACTAGCTGCATTCTTCTTCCCAGTCATTGACCCACAAAGCATTGAAACCAGTGGCAGTCAGGGAACTAGCATTTTCAGTAGGATGATATCTGTATTTCTCTCGGTACAGGTTGTGACAGGGTATGGTTTCACTTGTAAAGCAAAGAACACAAATGTAATGAGTAACTGTTTGCCGCAATGTAAATTGTATGCATTGTGACCATTAAATACCCAGTTATACATTGGCTCATGGGTTGTTTATTCTCTTCCAGTCTGCCTTGGAACTGAAAACAGGTTTTCCCAGCTGGGGACAGTGGAAGAGCATTACAGCAGTATGAAGAAAATGTACAACGGCTGTGAAATTGTGCTCGGAAATCTGGAAATCACCCACCTAAGTCGCAATTATGACACGACCTTCCTCCAGGTACAGATGTGAATTTAAATCAGTATCACTATATAGAGCAATGCCACTCCTACTTATGATTCATAGCTCATATGGCTATCATTAAATACACCCACATTATTCTACAAGCTCATGCCTTCTCTACAATGCCTGTCCCAGGATGTATTATCCACAGGTAGCACACATGGACATATGAAATACTAATCATCAAGATACTAATCATCAACATACAAATTTAATACATGTGCTATTCTGAAGGACTTAATAAAGAGCACTATTAGGCACTGTTTGTATGTGCAGTACCTGCTTAAAGTGACATTAAACCCTCAGATTTTTTTAACATAAAACAATACTGTAATGTGTGCCTTACTGTAATCCATGGTAGTTTCCCTTCTCTTTGCTGCTCTTCCTTTTAAATCCGTATCTCTTCTCATGCTGGGCAGAACTTCTGTTTTGCAGCAGACTGCCTTGTCTCTGAAATGGATACATGGTGTCTGTGTGCAGGTTCACAACCTGAGCCAGCACTACAGGAAGGGGCAATCAGCTTCAAAGGGAAGTTCTCCCCCGGCATGAGAAGACATGAGGATTTAAAAGGAAGAGCAGCAAAGAGAAGGGAAACTACCATGGATTACAGTAAGGCACACATTACAGTATTGGTTTATGTTCAAAAATCTGAGGGTTTAATGTCACTTTAAGTTCCCACTTATATTTTGCCTTTCCTGAATTCTCCTCCCTCATCAACATGCTAATCAATTTATTTTAAAGGAAACATTTAGGTTTTCAGTACATACTTTAGTTTAGACCTCGTGATGTCATCATTGGGTCTCCGTGCTTCTCGACGCAATGCAGTTAGATCATAGCAGATGGGAGGGGCCAGCAGCGTGGTGCAAATAGCTTCACAACATCACAGCACCTTGCCTCAGTACTCCTTTCAAGAGCCCTCAGCCTGATACAATTAGTATAACTTATTGGGAGAAGTTATTCAAATATCATGCCTTAATAGGTGGATTTCAGTCTGGAGGTGTGAGCGTTCCTGTGCAGACTGCATTTGCATGCAGATTGCCCAAGGTAATTCCCTCATGTGAAGCTGAGTCTCAGTGATTGATAGAGCTGAAATCCAATGAATGAAAAGGGCTTGCCAGAGACAGTTGCCTCAGCCAGGAAATGAGGTGGGCTGATTTGCTGTAAGAGGCTCATAATAGACAATTTCAATATGAGGCTTTACTGTGCAAGACTGAAGGTAAGGCTGGAACTCAACTTTAACATACTGTTCCCTTACTATGATATACAAAATACAGCTAGTTCTGAGGGGGGTAGCCCCACTGCAATGGTTAGGATTATTTCTTCCCAGATTGTCTACCTGACAGAATTGATGATTACATAATTGTTGGTGACAAGACAGAAGTGAAACAAAGTCTTACAATGTGTGATCAGCTTTAAAAAGCCAAGAAATAACTCAATTTGCAAATAGCAGAGGATCTTTATTGCACAGTTGAACAGTTATGAAACCAGAAGCATTTCCACGGACAAACCTTCTCAGAAAAATAGTCATAAGAAACTATTCCTAGAAAACCAGGACTGGGACAAAAAATACAACAAAATGTTAATCTGAATTCCGTACCGGAGTGTTTTTTTAGGAGACCTGCACTAAGAAAAGTATGTAAGCTTACTTTTCTGAGTCACTGACCCACAACAGTATGACCCCTGACCCCACAATAACCCAGGTACAAAGAGTATCGATAAATGGCACCTTCTCAGATTGTGCTAGGGTCATGAGCGGCGTTTCCGCAGGGGTCTGTGCTGGGCCCCATGCTGTTTAATCTATTAATTAATGATATCGGGGAGGGGGTAAATAGCCATGTTTCAGTGTTTGCTGATGATACCAAAATCGGGAGGGGAATAGTCACTGAATCTGACGCTATAACATTACAGGGGGATCTGGATAAAATAGGGGAGTGGGCAACCACATGTCAGATGAGGTTTAATGTGGATAAATGTAGAGTTGTGCACTTTGGGGTTAAAAACAAGTAAATGGATTACACACTAATGGGAGCTCCCCTCAAGAAAATCCGAAAGGGAAACAGATTTGGGGGTCATTGTAGACCACAGGCTGAAAAATAGCTTTCAGTGTCAGGCGACGGTAAACAAAGCAAGTAGAGTCCTTTCCTGTATTAAGAGGGGAATGTTTTGCAGGGACAAGTCCGTAAGTATGCCACTTTATAGATCACTGGTTCGGCCTCATCTGGAGTATGCGGTCCAGTTTTGGGCACCAGTGAACAGGGGGGATGTCCTTGAACTGGAGAGGGTCCAGAGGAGGGCAACCAAAATCATAAAAGGGATGGAGGACCTGAGTTATGAGAACAGGCTACTAAAATTAAACATGTTCTCCTTGGAAGTAAGGAGATTAAGGGGGGACGTGATTTTCATGTATAAAATGTTTACCGGGCATAGTAACATTAGAAGCAAACTTTTTACAATTAACTCGATGACAAGGACGAAAGGCCACCACTTAAAATTGGTGGAGAAAAAAATTCAGCACAAGGGGTGAAGGGGGTTCTTCTGAGTTAGATCGGTCAAGGTCTGGAACTCGCTGCCACATGCTGTGATTTCGGCTGAAAGTGTGGAATCATTCAAGAGGCGATTGGATGATTTCCTCCGGGACCGTAATATACAGGGGTATAGATACTCTTAAAATTGATAACACACAAGGGACCTATACATACTACACACCAATAGGAACATACACACATAGGTTGGACTTGATGGACATATGTCTTTATTCAACCTCAAATACTATGTAACTATGTAACAAGCATGGCGCAGGTCAATACTTTTCCCAGGTCAGTGAGTCAGCATGACATCTAGTCACGTTTTCCGAATTAATATTCGGCAATGGTAGCCTCACTTTCCCTCAGTATAGGTTTCCTTTAAAGAAAACTAAAGCCAAACTTTTATTTTGGCTCTACTTCTTTTTTGGGCCACAGGAAGACATTTACTAATGTGCTGTGGCCCAGGGTCAGCATATAGCATTCTATTGCCCACTATATGTTTTCAGCAAAGAGCTTGCGCTGCATTAGAGAGGGATCTGAACAATATTGTTGGGATCCACCTCATCTGCCTGATTGACAGCTGGCCCTGCCTCTATAGAACAAGAGCCAGCTTTGCCTGCCCCTTTTCTGTCTGTCCCTGCAATGAGTGCTGGAGGAACAGAGAGGGGAGGGGAGGATCCCTGTAGGGATCGGTGCCTGACATTGACTGATCTCTGCAGATAAAAGCTGTGAGCTGAGAAATCAGCAGTTACATGATCGCCCAGCTCTCGGAATGTAGACCTCCCAAGACTTTTACCAAACTGAAGATAACATGCATGATGCTGTAAATAAACTAATTTTAATAAATATTTCTAAAATTAAGAAAGGGGAAATAATAAAGCATCTGTATAGACATTTTTATTATTTTGCTTTGGCTAGAGTAGGAAAGGGTTGAAACCTCTATCAGTTTATTTTTGGCTGCCTGTGTCCAATTGTGGAGATTTTTTTTTCTTTACTTCCTGTCACAGAGACAGAACAGGAAGTGAGAGAATATATCTACACAGTAAAGGGAATTCACCTCTTAGACAGTTGTAGCTGGAACAGGCATCCCCCATCGGAAGGTTTGATCTTCCAATGGGGACACCTGTTCCCTGTGTTCTGGTGACATCATTTTCTGTCTTGGTGATAAAGGGCACTAGGATAAATGGAGAGGGTAAATCTCGCTGGCAGATACACACACAGGAAAAAAAGCTTGACAGGCGTTCCAAACCTTCCTTTCACCATCAAAATAAAAGAAAAACATTGGTTATAGATGTACTTTTTTTTTTAATTCCTCTTTATTTAATTTTCTTTTGACAATTGACAATAATAATAATAATTTACAACCACATAATTAATAGTGTAATTTACAACGACATGATTATACATCCTCATACATACAACTCACATTCAAGACACTTACACATTTACATTCCATGGTCAACCCTGAACAAGATTCACATTATATTTACCAAATCTTAAATTAGCTTCCCACATAGCCTATCTAACTCCCTTCACCGTCCCCATTTATATCGTGATATTTTCTACCTCCGTATTTAGTGTTTCATATTAATCAATTTTGTATATTATTTTTGGTGTTTACGCCCGTATTATGTCAAAACATAAAAAACTCCCTACTACATATTTATAGTGTATATTTTATATATATTGCATATTTCTGTTACTTATCCTCCCTTTATTCATTGTATCACACCCCCTCAATTCCACCTCTATATTTAGTGTTTTATATTAATTTTGTGTATTATTCAGGTGTTTACTCTAAAATATATAACATTTTCACATATTATATCTAAACAAGGAACCCCCGATAGATGTACTTTAATGTAAAACATTATTAACATTTCCACTTCTGAACTTCCGGGAAGATAATTTTAATTAGAAAAAAAAAAGTAAAATAAAAAGTGGTTTGCTGGTTATTTGCGGGCACAAATTGGACTAATCAGCTACTAACCTTAGGGCCCATTTACTTCTTCAGATCACTTTAACGCTGTGCATTGTGGCACACTGCAATGCAAATGCTTTGCCTTTCAAAATAGATGGCAACACGGTACTGTGAATGCAGCCTCCATCTTAAGTCATAAATGAATGTCATAAAAGTTATTTTTGGTTTCCTATGTTGTACATTTCACCCCCACTAACACTAGAGCACTTTGTTACTGGCTTCCCAAAGCGCAACAACGCTGAACATGGAAAATTCCGTTATTTTCAGTGGTGACCGTTCACACTTGTGTGCTGTGTTGCTTGTCGATTATCGCTCAGAAAAGTACATGAGCTTATTTTGAGCAGAATTGTGCATTTTTGACCCCATAAACTTCAAAGTCAGCGCTTGAAAATGTAGCTAACAACACTTGATTTTGTAGCTAACAACCACCTCCTCCTAGTTCTTACCTTTCCATTGGCTAAAACAAAAATGCTGAAATCTGAAAATGCCTGAAAAACAAAAAACACTTCAAATACACTCAAGTGTGAATATGAGCTTGATTGATTCACCCTATTCCATTGTTATTGTAGGATTTGATGATCATTTCTTATTGTTATTTAATTTCAGGACATTAAAGAAGTTGGTGGTTATATTCTCATCTCCATGAACAATATCAAGTCCATTCCCTTGACCCACCTTCAGGTGATCCGTGGCAATGCTTTGTACAAGAATGCCTCTCTTTCCATTTTATCAAATGATGGCCTGGCCGAGCTTCCTATGAGAAACCTAAAAGGTAAAAACTGACCTTCCATTTAATAGCCAACTTATTCTATGCAATTAGTGGCATAACAATAGCCGTAGCAGCCCACACAGCTTTTATGGCGCCTAGGGTAGGAGGGGGCCCCATTAGGTGGGTAGGTTTAGGAAATATAACTTTGAGGTTTCTAGTAAAGAAGGACTGAAGTCAGTCCTCAGGAAAGTCTAGTCACAGATCCCCTCTGAACAGTAAGACGCATTTGCTTATCTATCATGGCAATGTAGATTTATTGCCCTCTGAACTTCTGCTACAGAATGAATTTACCTCTGTATACCTAGAGTCGTCACAAATCCCAGAATGTCTCCTCTGTTAAAACCTTATAGGAGGGATGAGGTTTGTGGTTTAATAAAGCTAAAGTTTAAAGATCATATTAGTGTTGAAGAGTAATCATGTTATCATAATATAAAATATCATTATGGTTATTATAATTAGTGCTTCTATATATTTTACTCCCAGCACTGCTCCCTAGTAGTGTACTGACAATGCTGACAGCTTTCTTGCTGCCTGTTGACACTGCCAGTCACTACAGAGCAGGGACGTGCGGTCAGGTGAGGCAGAGCCTCACCTAGCGTTATGGAGGAAAAAGCTGTCAGCTTCATGCCTGAAGCTGACAGCTTTTTCTCCAATCAGTGTAACCTGTCACAGAGCCTCAGCGGTGAGGAGCAAGTGAGGTACAGGGAGGCTCCTCCCTGTCTCCTCCCTTCCTCCTTTACACTAGTTTGGGGATGGGTTGGGGGTGGGGCTTCGTCTGTTGGGGGCGGAGCTTAGGTCGGCGTGATGCAGGGATTCGGCCGGCAGGGGGGCCAGGCTGGGGAATGCCTCACCCTGAGCAAGAGGTACCCCACGTCACTGCTACAGAGAGAGCTAGCTGGGAGGGACCCAAAATGTTGCTATGGGGACCCATGATTTATAGTTACGCCCCTGTGTACAATGTATATACGTTTCTCTACAGTGAGTGGCTATGTCTGTCCCTGGACATTTAGGGCTCTAGAAACTTGATAATCAAGGTGTCAGTATTTTTAATAAAACAATTATGTGCTAACTGTTATACAAATTTGGCCTCATGAACACAGGCAGAAAATCACGGCTTTTAGATGCATTCTTATTTTTTTTTTTTTTATGTCTCTGAATGCATTTCCGTTCTAGCCGATGTGTCCATGTGCCCATATTGGATGCGTATTTCAGAGCAGCATTGGTGGGCATGCAAATTACATGACCCAAATAAGCGTTCAGAGAGGCGCTTACTGGCATAATTTACGTGTAAAAGTTAGTAAACATGTAAATGCACGTGTATGCACATAGTGCTTACAATAAATAAACTTTTTAGTCAACAGAATGAATTTACTTGCAAAATACCATAAAGTCACTCACACTCCGTTTGTAGATAGCAGTCAATCTCCTTTATTGACTGAACAGAGCGGCACGGTGGTGTAGCGGTTAGCGCTTCTGCCTTGCAGCACTGGGGGTCCCCAGTTTGAATCCTGGCAAGGAGTTTGCATGTTCTCCCTGTGCTTGTGTGGGTTTCCTCTGGGTACTCCCGTTTCCTCCCGCACTCCAAAGTCATGCTGGTAGGTTAATTGGCTCCTCTAAGTTGGCCCTCTATGTATGCATGTGAGATAGGGACCTTAGATTGTAAGCTCCTTGAGGGTAGGGACTGATGTGAATGTGCAACTATTTAAAGTGCTGCGTAAATTGTTGGCGCTATATAAATACCTTAAATCAGGGGTCTCAAACCTCCGGCTCTCCAGCTGTGGTGGAACTACAAATCCCATGAGGCATTGCAAGATTCTCACAGACATGACTCCCGAAGAGAGATGCATCATGGAATTTTTTTTAGTTTCACCACAGCTGTAGGGTCGGAGGTTTGAGACCCCTGCCTTAAATAAAACACGATGTCACATACACAAAGCGATGTTTTGGGACCATGCAGTCCCTTCTTCAGGCAAACAACAGTGACAACATGTTCAGTCAATAAAGGAAATTGACTGCTATCTACAAACAGAGTGTGAGTGACTTTATGGTATTTTGCATTTGATGTGCGTAGGCATTTGCTGTCACTTTCAGCACCCCCCTGTTTTCGTTTGGGCCTTATCCGGTCAGGAGTGTGATTGGATCTACTACATTTTAATTTACGTGCAGACATGTCTAAATGCTATATTCGCATAGCTGCACATTTATTTATTAGTATTTATATACCACTGACAATATCTGCAGCACATTCACATCAGTTCCTGCACTCAAAGAAGTTACAATCTGAGCTCCCTATATTACATGCAGGACCAATTTACCATTCATGTCTCTGGAGTGTGGGAAGAAACCCACACAAGCACAGGGAGAACATGCAAACTCCTTGGACATAATGTCCTGCTTGGGATTTGAACCAGGGGGGAACCACCAGTGCTGCAAGGCAGAAGTGCTAACCACTACGCCACTGTGCTGCATGTAACTATACACCAAAACAGCCAGCTTCTGGCTAAAAGATCCAACATGAATGGGATTATTTTTATTAGCCCATGTGCATGAGCCCCGATGTTCATAATAGACTTGAGAGAGTGAAACTTGGTAAATTCCCTGTAATTACCCTTGCTTTTGCCTCCCAACCAAGTCTGGGCCTCTCTCATGAAGACAAGTGTCTGTGTGATGGTCTATTGTGATGCATTTCCTATTAGGCATTAAACAAATTGTATTTCTTTTTATTTTCAACTTTCTTTTTCACAGAAATTCTACGAGGTGGCGTTACCATAGGGAGAAACCCCAAACTTTGCAACTTGAACACAATCAAGTGGGAGGACATTGTCAACCAGGACCATGCAAACGTTTCTGTACAATCTCCATCGCCTGCACGCTGTATGTATGCATGTGTCAAACAATTGCTTGCTAAAAGGTTTTGGCTGCAGTTGGCTTTTGAATCTGATACACCCGGGGCTTCTGTGGCCCAACTCTAAAAAAATATATTTTGTTGTGGAGAGAGTTGGAAGTTGATATTTATTTATGATTGGTATTTATATAGTGCTGACAATGTATTCAGCACTTTACATAGTGCACAATCATATCAGTCCCTGCCCTCAAGGAGCTTGCAATCTAAGGTCCCTATATCACATACAGTACATACAGGACCAATTTAGACACCATGTCTTTGGACTGTGGGAGAAAACTAGAGTACCCGGAGGAAACCCACGCAAGCACATGGAGAACATGATGCCTGTCAGGTTTTTACTGCAGCCTCTGATGTCATTGGAAGGATTTCCCCTAACTTGCTGTCTAGACTAATGGGGTAGGATTAAAACCTCTGGTTAGTATTACATTTGTCTACAATATTACATCTCAGTGACAACCACTTTTCTTATCGCTTGTCATGCTGTAACAGGTTGCCACCATGACATTAGGTGTGGTGCAATCTCTCCAAGAAGGAGCTGACACTGGCAGCAATAAAAAATTGACAGAAGATTTTCCCAGGTCTGTCTAAAATGTAAAAAAATTAATTTTTGCTCGGGTTGGGCTGTAACTTTTTGGAATTGTTTGTACAGTGCACCTGCACACTTGCTAAAAAACATTTTGTTTTTGCTTTAACCCCTTGCGCTGACCCGTTGGCCCTGTAAGGGGATCTTAATGCCAGGAGTTGGGGACGGGCTTCCCAATCATGTTATCGCTGTGAATGGTCGCTGTGATTGGTGCCCTTCCCACCAACTGAAAACAGTTATCGGTCAGTGACAGCTCAGCCACTGTGCTGGGAGCACATAAATGAGCGCACTCTTAGCACAGAACAGCAAGCCCACCTGTTAAGGCCCACTCTCCAGGGTCACAAATATATGCGTTATGTGTTAAGTATGCCTAAGAAATTATATTTATTCAAATTCATGGCTACAGGGACATTTTCTATTTACATCACCTCATGCCCTTGAAGAAGTTTATGCCAAAAACATCACTAGGTACCATAGCACATCAAATAGACAGACATACTGTAAGCCTACATTTTGAGTACTGTAGGCCTACATTTGCCTACTTGTATGCTTTTGGATTGTAGAATAAATGATAAGAAAACATACCAGATTCCTACAGCCAGTGTTGCTTGTAGGAACACAGGACCTCCCATTACACAGCCCCATGTCTACCCTATTTATAAAGACTGTTACTATTTATAAAAAATAATCTAAACTGGAGTTGTGGACCAGAGCACCCAGATGGTCCATTATTTATAAAAACAGATTTTGTCATTTTATATGAGAATGTTTTTATGATATGGAAGAAGTGGAGGAGATTGATTTGTATATGGCTTGTCTTCTACCAGGAGACTTTTTACTGGTGTATTACTAGTTAGATCATAAATATAACATTACATAAATTATATTTACAACACTTTTATTTATAATTTATAGTGTCAGTTTAGGAGAAGGTGAAAAAAAAACCCTCAAAACATGCTGTGTACTTAACTGCTGATCTTTACAACTGCAGGTCCTAAATGTGATGTGGAAGCTTGCAATGAATCATGTTGGGGGCCTGGTCCAGAGAACTGTCAGATACGTAAGTATTCTTTGTGAGCAGTTAATTACCTAGATTATTGGCCACGTGAGGACTATTGTTATTCTGTATGCGGCAGTATACATAAAGTATATGCCTCTTTAACCAGAAGCTATTAGCCAGATAGTTGAAAAATAAATAAATAAAATGAATGTTAGGCCTGCTTAATGGAACTATGAAATCGCATATTACTTTCTAAATGTGGCCATGTCACACTTGTGATTTTGCTGCTGGTGACACCTTGCTAGTGGCAGAATCCTGCTATGCAGTTACTGCCTTCTCTATGGATGTTGCTGCTTTGCTACCAAAGTGCTGCTGAACCTCGATTGCCACTAAGTGGAGCAGAGATACAGCTACATCTCCATCCATAGGGAAGAAAACAGCTGTATAGCAGTGATTTTGCCACTGGCTAGGTGAGTGATGCCATTAAAGAATGGGGCTTAAGAGCAAGACTCGTGAGTATTTTGTCACTATGGGAAGAAACGTAAAGTGTCCAGCAGGCTCGTTAAGGTGTTCACTAGGAAGGGGACACAAACTACTTGGTCAATATTATTTGGATGGGGTCCTTTTTCTTAATTGTCGAAAATGTATAAAAAAGTAAATCTCTTAATGCTGAACATAGGTTCAGCACAATGGAGAATGCATTATATATTCTATTAAGACCTGGTTCACACCTAGGCGACAACGTTTTTGAGCATTTTAACATGCGTGTGTGATGCGCGATTTGTGCATTTGTATGCGTGTTTATGTGCATACGACAAAAAGCACATTTTTGTGAGCAGATTGTAGCTCATTGATATCAATGAGAAAAAGGGCATAAAACGCGCAAAAACACAGCAAACGGCCGTTTTCAAGGGTTTCCTATCCAGTCCATAGGGCCAAAACGAGCAGTAATATGCCAAAAAAATAAGCTCATGTACTTTTTCCAGCGACAGGCGTTTTGCTTATTGCGACAAAACGCTCAGATGTGAACAGGGCCATAGAAATGAATGGGTTTTTTGAGGGGCAGATTTTTGGAGCGTTATGTAGGGCAGAAAAAGAGTTACAAAACGCCCAGTGTGAACCAGGACTAAAGGGTGGGCATAGAACAGCCATAGTGTCAGTGTATTGGTAGCTACTGTGGGAGGGAAAACAGGGAAAGATGACAAACTGCTTTGGGAGAGATAAGGGTCGGTTAGGAAACTTTACTTTAATTCTGATTGCTAGCTCTATGAGTAGTCAACCCTTTTGCTACTTTTCTTTTCTTATTTTGGGAGATTTTTATGTCTTTAAATTAATTTTGTGGTTGATTTGAGGTCACTTTTAGCTGCTGTCCCAACCATAGCAAACTTTTTTTTGCTGTAAGGCTTCTCTTTTAAAGTAAGTTTTTTTTTTATTATTTTATGCTTATTTGTATTTTATGTTTTATATTCACACACCCCATTATCCCTATATATAAATTAAACTTTAGGCATACACAGGTTGGGCCTATTATCCCTGATTAAAACTGTACTTCTGCTGGCTCATTTTACAGACTGTATCCTCTGCGGTATTTTAATTCTTGTAGTAAAGCTACATACCTTGCTCTTTGACTCTAGTAAATGTGGGCTAGCCTTACTATTTAAAATTGTCCCGCAGCTGGACAATTTTACCCTGCTGGGTTATCTGCTGTTACGTGTAGCAAAATACCTGTTTGTACTCTTTTTTTTCTCTAGTACATTTCAGCTAATTCTTTTCTACTGCTGTCTAATGACATTTTAATAGAAATTGGCCAGTGGCAGGACATATTTGCATCAGTGACAATAGTTGCAGTCTCACCAAATTACTGGCTAGTTTCTATCTCATTCTGTCAAAGCAGGCCTATTACCAGGCCCGGATTTCCCACAAGGCCACCGAGGCCCGGCCGAGGCAGAGCGCCGAGGGGCGGCAGCGGTGACCCTGTGGGGAAGTTGCGGGCGCCGGTGTAAGGTATCCGGCGGCCGCACACTACGGTCCGCCGCCGTCCA